CCCAGGATAAACATTAACCAACGTTTTGGGGAAAATCTTTCAGGCTTGAGATAAAACGGCTTTTTCAAAACAATCTAAGTTATAGGAATATTGTTGTAGGAAACTGTGTATTTCCTCTTTTTTGCAAGAACGAAGATAAAAGTTTAAGTTTGTCCTTTTTGTGTTCTTGACGACCCTCAGTTTGAGAATAATTTTCTGACAACTTTCGTTGTATTGGACGAAAGTTTTCCCATACTTACTGTATATCAGAATTGCTGTAATATCTATTGTGATTGACATGCGTGCTTTTCGCGAAGCCCAAAAAATTGGTCGGTCTAAGCAATATAGTTTCTTGATGTCATGACTTTCGATCGCTTTCTTTTTCAGGGCGGAAATGTCACCAAAGCGTTGGATCTGTGCTTTGCAACTCAGCAGTTTGCGGCGCTACAAGTGATAGCTGAGGACCTTGACGAGACTACGGACCCTCAGATGCTTGACAAATGCTCCAAGTTCTTTTTGGAACATGAACAGTACGACAAAGCCGTTGAATTGTTGGTTGTTGGCAAACAGGTAATGCAGCACAGCCTTCGATATTCGGTGTGTCAGTCTTTTATCGCGTTGCGTGATACGTCTTAAAGCGCTTTCTGATTGAGTGTCGTTAAACCAAACCAAAGCGATGATAACAGCCAATACTAGAATGGCAAGGAAAATATCACCAGGAGCCAATGAGGACTCGTAGAAAAAACAAACTAACTGAAGCGCGGGAAAACGCGAGTGACCAGATCGCTATTGGATCTAGTTTTTAATCTGATTGGTTAGGAAAGTGGCGCAAGTTTTCTGGACCAATCACATACCGGGTAAAGCAAGAACAAAGTAATCCTACAATACCTTCGACAACTGAAAACTGCTCTAAAGTTACAATGAGAAAAATTTACCGCCAAAATGGCCCTAAACACTCGTCTTTTTCGTATCTTAAGAAAAAAAAGGCATTGTCGCTTTAAAAAAGGAAAGAATTGATATTGGTCTCTTTTTGTCAGTTCTCAGAGGCGTTAGATCTGTGCATGAATCATAACGTTACAATCACAGAGGAGCTGGCAGAGAAGATGACGCTTCCTAAGGGCTCCGATCCGGAGATCAGAAACAAACTCTTAGAGAGGATCGCTGACTGCTGCATGCATCAGAGATCATACCACTTAGCCACCAAGAAGTACACTCAAGCTGGCAACAAAATCAAGGTCAGTGGGCACAAACAAAAGGGACTTGACTTGTTAAAGCAACACCTTTTCGGAGACAAAGCTAAGGTCTTGAATTTTCGCCGCCTGAATCGATAAGGAAATGCTGTGTGAATTTAGAACGAACTAGCTGGTTGTCCCACCAAACGAAGTTGGAAGAATTGGACTTGCCCTTTCCCCGGCCCCGTTTGCTTCGGAGGTCTTTAATATGCCCTTAATGTATTTTGCAACCATTCTTATTATCGCAATTAGTTAGGTTGGGT